TCTCTCTCTCTCTCTCTCTCTTCACCTCACACTCACACTCACATACACACTCACATATATTCTCCTGTCTATTGATGGGGAGCGCCACCTGCTGGAAACTGAAAGCACCAACCGGGACCCCACACACACTCTCTTCGAGTTGTGTATAGCGAACACAACAAAACATACATACAACATAATTACTACCTTACCCTTAAGGGAAGTTAGGCCCGGTTTGAGCTTGGTATGGGAACCCCTACTGTTTAGTAATTGGATACAACACGCTTGACCAGGGTTCCAACACGCGTCACGTCAAAAGAGGACCGCATACAAAGTAGTAATTAAGGGACGCTCGACCCGGTTTTCAACAGGTTCAGTATACCCCAGTCAATGTCAGTCAAATACCAGTTGATTTCTGCTGACTTCAGTGCAGCTCACTCCAACCTTTTCTGCTGCTTCAGCTTCAAAACACATGCTACTGCAGAGTGCAAGGACACAATAGGTGCCACAAGGATAGTAGGTGGATGGCAGAGGTTAGGGGGGGAGGGAGACTCCACTGGTGCCCCCCGGTGTTTCTCCCCCCAATACCCGACCCTGCTGCAGGATAGGTATGAAAGAGTAGATTTGATATGGGACACTGGACCCGGTTTCCAATATAATGACGTCACTTTCAGGATGTACTGTCTTACAATGATGTATTTAAGAGACGTTGGACCTGGTTTCCAGCAGGTGCTGCTCCCCACCAATAGATGGAGCGGCCCGCCAGGCAAAGCCTCAATCCTGGTGGTTCTCTTACCACCACCAGGATAGAGGCCTTGCACAGGGGCCTTTTAACCACCAGTACCTCCGCCAGTGTTGGGAAATTACGTTGTCCTGGCCAGTATCCGAAGTTTTCGGGGTTCGGATATAGGGTCGGCGATGTCCCAAAAATCGTAATTTTCTTTTGCCCGTGCACGAAAGAAAAATGAAAAAAAAAAGGTATTTGTACTGCAATGATGTCTGGCAGGGTAGTCTAGGAGGTCGTGCTCACAGTTTTGAATGCATCTTACAACGAAGACGGTCACATTCTGAACTTGTTTTTTTTTTTTTTTTATTTCTCTTTTGTTTGTTATGTGCCCCCTGCCAACGAGGCAGGGTGGAATCCGTGATCTGCTCTAGCTGTGTTTCCTCAGATGATTATCACCCTGATGTATCCATCCGTTTTCAAGGCCGAATCCATGTTTTCGTTTTTTTTTCTTCTTGTTTTTTTTTTTCTGGAATCTGACAATCTGAATCCGTGATCTGCTCGAGCTGTGTTTCCTCAAAGGATTGTAACCCTGATCACACTGGCGCTTACGGGAACGTATCTTGCCATTTTCATGGACGAATCCGTATTCCTGTTTTTTTTTTTTTTTTTAGTTTATGGAATCTGACAACCTGGCGACGGGGCTGAGATGCCCTCACTGAGGGCACACTCACACTAACACTTCCGAGAATGTATACAGCTACAATCACGTCCAGAGCTTTGTTTCTTTTTCTTGTTTTGTGAGTTATCACGGCTGCAACTTTTTTTTTTTTTTTTTTTTTTTTTT